TCTGAAGATATGGGTGAACAACGTGATTTAACAGCCTTTGAGCATGGGGTGATTGATGGCGCGAGCCATGGAGCGAGTATCAGCAAAACAGCAGAATTCGTTAAATGTTCAGCTGTTCAGCAGAGCAGCTGTTTTTAAAGTGTTTAAAGACTGGACTGTAAGCCAAAAATCTGGGTCTGAACGTGCGAATTAGCAGCGACTAGTCAATGTTAGGGCAGAACAGAGAGTGGCAAGACTGGTACAAGACAACAGAAGGGCAACAGTTCAGTGTCAGATTCCTCACATCACCTTTCAACAAAGTACTGATGGGGTGGTCATAATAATCTGGCCACTCAGTGTATATATGTATATACAAACACTATTTTACTCACAGAGTAATATAATATATAAGTGTAGTGATGTAATACCAGCTAGTGAAACTGGATTGTTATTACTGTCTGGGAAGTAATGTTCATCTTTGGTTTCTCCCTACTTGAAGGTTTATTACAAAGCGTGCATTACTATGTAATTAACATTGTGATTTGAGTGCATTAAATGTGCTACTTACAAAATTAGCTATAGTATTATATTTTTAATCTGAAAGAAAATGCAAATATAAAAAAATCATATTAGCCAGTAACTTGAACTTTGTTGTAACTATCCATTTCCACGTAACTGACCAAAAAAATATTAATCTGTTCATGCTGCAGAATACAAATTTTATCATACCTTAGGTTGACTGTGTAACCGACCCAGTGCATGAATATTCATGCTCACATAACTGATCTTTCTCAGAGTGATCATATCCATAAACATGAAAATCTTGTTAAGTTACACTAATGAGCACTGTGTTGGGAAGCTATTCCCTTATCAGCTTTAAAGGGCTAATAATACCACTATGTGTAACGTCCTTAGTCTTGTTTCCACCTCTTATTTGTTTTTCACATGATCTTTGGCTTATCTAATGACCATGTTGAATAATAGTGCTGCAGCTGTAACACAGATGACTTGTCAATTGGTTGGTTATAGCCTTATAGAATGTTTTTTAATGACAGAGCAGTGATACTTAAAACAAAATTATTTCAAAGATTACAAGCTGTTAAAATCAGTTACCAATTAACTGCTTAGTTTACTTACTTTCTTATAAATTTTGTGTCTATACCCATTCTTTCCTTACATCTGTCGATAGATAGCTTACCTCATGCAGAAACAGAACAGGAAAGTTCCCACTGCTTAATGGAGCTTTAACATGTTTCCTAGTTTCAACTTGCCCAGCTATGACATTCTGATGTGGAGTAGTAGCCATGCACAGCAAGACAATTATTATTTTGTATTATATATGACAGATCTATCATTTCTTTTCCAGCTACTATAGTGTTAAATGAGTTGAACTGGACTGCTGCATTGGATGAAGTGTTTAAGAAGAACTCCGCTGAAGACAAAACTCTTTTATGGCAAGTGTTTGGAAGTGCAACTGGACTGGCCAGGTACTACCCAGGTAAATAAAGACAGATTGTTATCTTCATGTTTATCCTGTGATAAACCTGTTATCTCAGGTTTATAAGATCACAGTATTCCCTTTATAGCAATCCTTGGTACTCTGGTTCTTATTCTTAGAATGCCCATAAATGGCCAGATCTTTTCAAGTGATGTGCCTGATTAAAGCATCATTTGAGAATCTAGTTCTTTCTCTAAAGGTGTCCATACATGGTCAGATCCTTACAAGTGATGTGCCTGGTTAAAACAATATTTGAGAAAACGGTGCAAGTATCAGTTCACATTTCCCTAGTTCCTGATCAAAATGTAGTTGTCACACAGAAATTTCCCACTTTATTTGGAAAATTGACTGCACCAGTGAGCATGAATTATCACGTTTTCTTAGATAAAAACGAGTATTGCAAGAAGCATGCTCTAAATTCACCTTTTGGCCAAACTGGGGAGAATATCATTACAGGTTCTAGTGTGTCTCAGAGTGTTGATTTCCTGGTGCCCTGGCACACTGTAGTTCCTTCCACCAGTCTCTACATCAGTGGTGGGGAACCTCTGGCCCTCCAGCTGTGATGAAACTACAAATCCCATGAGGCATTGCAAGACTCTCACAGCCGGAAGCATAGCTCCCAGAGACAGATGCATCATAGGATTTATAGTTTCACCACAGCTAGAGGTCCAGAGGTTCCCCACCCCTTCTCTACATTACAGGACACAATAGTGATGTTGGGGCTCAGATTTTGCAGTATCTCCAGCCAGCAGTTTCTCTTCAGTTTTGAAGAGATCAACTATGTTGGCAGCAGATGTTAGTATTTAATGTATTTTATGCAAAGAAACTATCTTTAATCCAATAGACATTTTCAACAGAGAGTGACCAAGATGGTGTTAGGGTTGAAAGGGACTACACACAAACTTTATGGGTTTGGGAGTCAAATGTTTGTCACTTAAATTACCTATTTCCCCCAGTAGCATCAGCAAATATATAACATCTGACTTTTCTACCTCATTCTAAAAATGATATATACAACACATGGCAGTCACTCTGATTTTTTTTAGTTCTGAATTGGAGTTAAAAAAAGAATTAAAATGCTATTATTTAGCTTAATATTTTTTAAAATTTTAAGTAAAAACAATCACTAACAACTTGAAATATGGAAATTTGCTAGTTTCAATTTTTATGGTCTTTGACACATGAGACCTTAAATGAAGACATAAAAACATACAGAAAGAAAGTTCATAAAAAGCATATTTGTGGAATAAGAGATGGAAACAAAGGTTAGCATATATGACCCAAATATCAGCAGATTCTTTACGCAGTACAGCTGTTCTATACAGTGGTTTATTTCTAACTAGAAATGTTTATGTTCTTTGCTCTGTTCTCAAGGGATGGTGAACAAACACACCAACATTTTAGAAGGAAAAAAAATCAATAGTAAAAGCTTTGCCATTATGAGAGCTACTAGATATTTTTTCAGCATGGTCTGGCTTTAGCTCATGTTAAACAGTACTCTCAAGTCTAAACCACTGTCTAAAGTTTAAAAGAAACATAATATAAGAAAGAGTTCATTTTGCCCTACTTATGAATCTCCGTGGCATTGCTTTTTATACATTTATTGAATATAAAATTTAAAACAATTGCTTTAGCTTTCATAGATCTGGGAGCTGGTTACATACCTAGATGAGCTTCTGAATACTCAGTGAATGCTGTATATTTTAAACATTTAAGAAATATTCAAAGTTCAGTAACAACAGACAATCAGAAATTCGATTTTAGTGTTCAGGCACCTTGTTGAAGGCTTACGCTTAGCTGATAATCTATTTGTCATAACACTGCTAAAGTTAGTAGGAAAATCTCTGACCCTATCTCACACACTGCATTTTTAGATGGAAGATAATTTTGTAGGCATGATATTTTTGGCTGATAAATCTTTCATCTCATGTCAACCCTAGTACATACAATACCTGGTCTATTTTTCAGAGTTATCTAATACAGTGAAACGCAAAAGAAAACAAGAAAATCCAGGTTTTAGAAAATGCCACCTATTTATCTGATACAAAAAATACATCTGCTTATATCAAATAAAGTTGAGCTGTAAAAGACATGGCAGTTATAATTTTTTTCAAGCAGTTTAGGATCTACTACAGTATAGAAACATCCTGGTACATTTCAGTTAAGCTTCCTGGACTTTCATATGAGTTAATGGATTCCTCCCACAGCCCATGTACAAATTGACAGTTAAAGTCCTAGGGGGTGATTTACTAACCTAAACACACACACACACCAGGTGTGTGTGATTTTCACACAGCAAAACGTATTTATCAACCAAAAAGCCTCTAAAAGCATATTTCCACTAATGCCATATATGTAAAAATCATGCACATGATGCATATATAATGCTGCTTCACAGTTTAGACAAAAATGGTTAGCTCATGCATTTACATTCCTTGCATTCATCAACGCAAGCAACACAACATAGAGCTAATTTACCCAACATCACCTTGGAATTCCTTCAGGGCTTTGCACAACACACCTGCTGGGTGTGTACACATTACAAAGGTGTTTAGATTCCACCCATAGATCATGCTGGGAGGGAACACACTGCAGAGGTGTATACACGTTCGTGGTGTGTTTATAAGGTTAGTAAATCAACCCCCTAGAGTGAGAGTACGAGCCAGTTGTTACAAAACCAGTCTGTTATAGGCTGCTGCTTCAGTTCACAGGCATGTCCTGTAATCTGATCAAAATGGCAAATGCAAAAAAGTTATTGAAAACTTGAATTAGCTCCATAATAACCATATGTAACCCCTTATTAAGCATTTGACATGCCAACTTAATTCAACTCATTTTAGTTTGCCTATTTTTCTAGCATACAAACATTTTCTTTATTTACATTTTTGTAGTGTTATATTAAAACATGCACATTAGTGCAGGTCTGTGTGCATCACCATTATGCAATTTTAGCGCAATGTACATTGACACACGTCCATTTTGAATGGCACCCCAATTCACATAGAGAGTGTACCAGAATCCATAGGCAGTTTAATGCACCACAGATAGGTGACTAGCAGGTGAATTTCTGGTTCCGGGTTTGCTTAGGTGGAATCGATTAATTGTTTGCAGCAAGGCGATTTCATTCTGGCTATCTTGTAAGTGTGTTTTATTGTTGCAATAAATTCAGTTTTTTTTACGTACTTCACCATTTGGCACATTTATTACTTTTCCATACTGGATCTCTCCCCTTGCTGAGTGAGCGGCGCCTGCCGTGTAATACGAAAAGGAGTATTTGTTTAATCAGAAGCGTGAATATCCCATCTATGAAAGACACTCATCACAATTACGTTTATTGGCCATTGAGATATATGGTCATGGATCTCTGGTGCCTTAACACATCTGGAGTCGTGAGCACTTTATTTCAGAGGATCACTGTCACATTGTGGATTTTGCACAAAAGCACTTTATACAGTTTTACTAAGGACTATTATTGAATATTGTTATATTGATTATTATTACGTTTGAAAATTTATGTTTATGAAAATGTACACATTGTTTGGAAGTTTATGCACGTTTATGAGCATTAGCGCAGTGCACACAATTTATCAATTTTCTTCACAAAATACCTACAAAATAAAGGCAGCCTCAAAAGCCAAATGCTCAGCTCCCATTTTTAGTAAGTTTTAAACCCAAATATACATTGTAGTGGTCTTAACTAGTCACTTTGAAATATGTTTAATTAAAAATGAATCTTACCCATCTACAAGTTGTCTCCTAGATTCACTGCTCAGTGCAAGGTCTAGAACAGTAGTTGGTAGGATCAATCTCATAAAAAATTATTTGGATGCCTCAATTTGCTTTATTTTCTTCACAACTCCCCATGTTGGATCCCTCAGAGATTTTTTAGAAGAACAAATTCAATTTTTAGGGAGCTCATTTGGAGGGGTAAACCACCTCGTCTTATGCTCGAGATTTTACAATAGCCTAAAGATCAAAGGGGACTGTCCCTTCCAAACCCTTGGATTTATTTCTTAGTGTCCGAGCTGCAGCACTTGGTGGGTTGGTCTCAGATGGATGATCTTCCCCTTAATGTCAAGTTATTCTCCCATACATTTGAGGGTAGGGCCCCTGTCCCACTTTTAGAAACACTGCTGCCTTCTCATTCCTCCTGTCCCACATTGAGGATGCTGGCCAGAGTCTGGGTATCCATCAGTTTTTACTTGGTATCTCTGATTAAACTATTTTACTCCTCTTTGGAACAACTGGAGACTTCCTGAGGTGTTCAAACTTAAGGGGTTGCCCACTGGGAAAGGGCTGGAATTGAAGCACTGTCCCATATCTATGCTTCTGGTACCTTCAGTACTTTTCAACAGCTTCAGTCCAAATTTTCTTTACAAAAAAAATAATTTGTGACATTTTATCAATATCTGCAACTACGGCATGCTTTATCTGTGCGTCCTGGTATCCGTGTCTCTATATCTGACCTTAAGTTGTTAAAAAAGTTGTTCTCTTCCTATAACACAAAAGGCGCTATTTTTATATAATACTCTTATCTTCTACCCAATTTTTTATGAGAATACCCTCATTAATGCAAAACTGGGTGGGAGATGGATTTGGGGCAGATCGCAGAGGAGTAATGGAAGGTGGCCTTGCGTTTCATTGACATGTCCTCTCTTTCCGCCTCCCATGGACTTACCAAACTATTTATTCTCCATAGAACCTATAGATGTCCAGAGTTTCTTTTCAAAGTTGGTTTTAGAAGTGAATCTAAATGCCCCAAGTGTGGAACTGAATCAGGCTCTCTCATACATCTCTTATGGAGATGTCCCACATTTGTGCGGTGCTGGACTGGTGTTGTGAAAGTCATATGCTCTGTTTTCCTGGTCCAGCTCCCCTGTTCCCCATTGGCTTGTTTACTTAGAGTAGTTGACTCTTCTCATTGGGACAATCTTATTCTGATTTCTGTCTCCAGAGCCCTGTTTGCAGCATGCACAGCCATTGCACTCAAATGGATGTCT